CAGCAGGACTCAAGCAGCTCTGGGCCTGCTTAATTTGACCTGGAGTAACTGTATTTCCCTTTACCTACTTTCCTGAAAGAGCTTATCAAAAGAGGGGTTTTGAAACATGCTCAAACACAAACTAACAGAATCAGATTATTCACAGACAGAATGGCAGATAATGCTTTCTCTTCAGATACCGCCAGACAGACCGACAGCAGCCCTCCTTTCTCCTGCCTCCTTTTTAACAGCCCCGCAAATTAATTTTCCTCCCTTACACGAGTCTCCCTTGGAGAGGAGTCCAATCACCAGGCTACAGACTGCCCTGGCAGTGACCCTCTGCCCGCTCCTTCCCTTGATGTTGTTTCACTGCTCAGAAAAATAATTTGAAACTCACTGGGGCAGAGATAGAGCAACACAAGGAGCCCAAATTTAGAGCCTCACAGAGAAGGAACAGAGCTGGGCTGGTAGAGCCTGTGCTTCTGTATGTTATTTTAAACAGTCACTGGATAAGCATAAAGCTTTCGGAAGCTGTATCTCAAAAAGGCTGCTTTAGATGGCTTCCAAAACCATCCAGCCCCAGCTCTCAGAAGCGCACAGAGAGCTGATGAACCTAGGTCCCCAATTTCACTCTAGCAACCAAAAATCTAAATGTTGGCCACCAATGCTCCCAAGTTTTTCAATGCACCCATGTGTTTCATTTTATCCAGCCCTTTCACCAGCTTCATGGGGTTGAACTACTGATGAAGTCAGCAAAAAAGCTGCAGCTTCTACTAAGATGCTGCTATGATGAATATTAATCTTCTTACAGAGGAAGAAAATGTCTGTGCTCCTCCACATATTTTCAAGGAGCCCTTTTGATTTACTACACAGGATTATACATGGCAACACTTTGGACTGTGTTTTGCATAGGACATGGACACAACTAACTCCTGTGACCAGTAAGGAGTCAGGGAAACTGACTCCTTTCCCTGCTTGGCAGGGAAAATTGGCCTGATTCACAGCATTCTCACCGCGGAGCCAACCTTCAGCTACTACAGCTAATCATTAACACAGTTTAACTCTGGACCTCAGGCCGAAGGCTTATACTGAGACAAGGGCACTGTATTATTTTTTGCTTCTCATGATAGGAAGTGTGGCTTCCCTCAGCCATCTTTCTTTAACACGGTGAATTAGAGGCTGTATTTTGTTGAAGACAGAGCTTTTAATGTCGCTCAAATAGAAAAGAGAAGCCAAATATTATCCACTTCTAAAAAGTTTCCGTAAGCCACAGCATGGCTGGGAGCATTGGTAACACACAGTTAGATGGATGATGGACTCCGATCCAAATGTGCTGCCTGCTCCACAGCAGTCCTGCAGCAGGGCTGCCTGTTGCCAAAAGGACAGGTAGAGGTCCCACGACTGAAAACACTTGCCCTCCTGAAACAAGAATATGCTGGAGGGTGACAGCTTTCACCCCTATACCATTTCACATTTGTCAACTCCTGTGCTCATCCCAAAGAAATAGGAGAAGTAACGGGACAGAGAACAGGTCAGAAAATGGAAATTAAGAGATTTCCAAGTCTTCTTTTCCCTAAGGACTAAACCACAGTGCCAGCATTCATGGGGTTCCAGTCTCCAAGTTAATACCCCATTCAGCAACCGCAATAATGTGTACAATATTTGGTCAGCCTACAAATAGTGCTGCACTCAACATAAGAAAGCAATTAGTCATACCTTGATAAAGAGGTAAAAGAGAAGAAAATCTTGCCAAGTAGCAATCATATTTTATGCCTGTGTTTGATATGCATTTATATGCCCATATCTCTGTCCAGACACTTGCACTTTAGGTGTGCTTAAAGGGGGAATTCTAAGGAAAAGCCATAAGTATGGTTAAAGAAAAACATTTCTTAATACAGTAATCTACAGGAAATATATGCCTAAGGGACACATTTTCTGAAAAAAAGATTTCCTGAAACATATGCTGCAAATACATCAAGAACTTCTTCGTAATGGAAAGCTAAGGCTTTGTGAAGATACTAATGTGTACCAGATGGTTATTAGGTAGAGAAGGGATTCACACAAACACAAGAAATCAGTCTATTCGCTCTGTTACTAATGTGTTAGTCTAGTACACACTGAGAAACAACCTTCCACACATAACTGAGATAAACTTTCTTCCATTTGATTTTGAGGAAGCAGGGCAGGAGCAGATTAGACCTTAATAGCTTGTCCCACTTGTGTTAGAGCTGTATTCTGCGAACACTTATTACTGCCTGTAAGCAGACCAGCCACTGTGTCCTGTAAGTGCCTGAACAGCCAGTCCCGCTGGGTGAATTTCACCTCTGAGCAGAGTGGCACCACAAATGTATGAGCTAGTTAAGTCTCTCTCATAAACAAGGAAAAGACTGAAGTGGCAGGCAACCCAGTCCTGGCCCTCTCACACACAGCCATTATTAACCTTTACAATGTGCTGTATAGTTTGCAACACGTAGTGGGCCTTTTTTTTCCATCACATCATTTTTACCACTCTGACTGTGTAAATAGGCTTCACTGCAATTTAAAGAGGCTTTAGCATATCTGAGATGTGTCCAGTACCTCTATGTTAATATCGGTTAACACTTAAACATCTAAAAAGACAATACCGCTTTTGTTTTAAAACAATCCCCTTTTTGTTTTAAAACACAGTGCTTTTCAAACTTCTTTGTTTAAAGCAAACATGTGAAAACCAAAATAGACACACTTTTAAAGAATCTGTTTTAGGTGCTTCCATTATTTGCAAAAACTTTTCATTTGGAGTGCTGTAATCAAGTAACAGAAGGAGAGTAAAAGCACTCAGTGTCTACAGGCATGGGTAGAAGGGCTGCACTTCTGTAGCTACAGCTCGTTCTGAAGTGCACTTGTAAAATATAAGGAGTTTTTTTCAGGTTTAAAACAAAGACAGGGATTCAATATGTATTTGCTAGTTGCTCTAATATGCACAAGTCATTAGGATCTCAGAGGTTAAGATGTCTGCACACTATCCTATTAACAGCTATAGCAACCTAATTAGACAATTAGAGGGAAAGGCTAAATCAATACTACAGAGGGAGAAAGGACTATGGCTAGGGGGTAAAATAAGGGCCCAGTTCACTAAGAATTGATGTTTCCAAAGGTAGTTGAAGCAGCTTACAATTTTGCAGAGGAATCTAGCCTAATCTCCTTGTTTAAATATGTGGCTCCTGTCTCATTTCTCTCTGACCGTCTGCAGTCAGACCTTCTGCCTGCTGTCTTCTCCTTGGCTGTCAAAGGGATGCACCTGAACAGTCACCTGTGTGGACTTTGCTCTTGTTTACAACTGATCACGTGAGACTGCCCCAGAAAAGGGAGCCCATCTGCCAGATTGAGGAGGAGGCTGATGCCAAGAATAGGAAGATTAAGGGCTAGGTTCTCCTTTCATTCACGCTGCTACAGATTGGCAGTAAGTCTGTTGAAGTGAGTTGATTTATAGTGGAGTAAAAGGGAATCAGGCCTTAAGACTTCTTTTGCAACTGGAGTTTCAGATGCCTTTGGATATATTTAGCCCACTGGATCCAAAAGCACCCTGAGCATTCACTTGGTTGGCATTCTGGTATATCCCAGCGTTCTGAGATTTAATCTGTTTTGAAATGCCATTTACTTATGCACTTAACTGTACTCAAAAACATTAAAATGCACCATTTATAAAATTTTAGTTTTCTCAAGAAAAACAATGACTCAGAGCAGTCACTACAGTTAGCAAACATGATTATGTTTACTGAGACTGGTTTACTACGGCATGCTGGAATTTTTTACACCGTTCATGTGGAAGATCAATAGAGGTGACTAGCACATTTCCTTCCGTATTTTGCCATGGTAGGTGAAAAGAAACACTGGGTATATCAGAATAGGTATTTCAACTAAACCCATGAAAGGAAGAGCTGGCTTGCCTAGAGACCACATTGTCAGGATGTACCTGAGGAGGGTCAATGATATCATCTGCGAAAGACAGGGCATGAATGGGAACCAATGTTAATGTTGGCTCAGCATTTCTCCATTGCATCTGGCAGTAGGGTTGTACTTGAAGAGCTGGGTTAATTCATGGAGTCTGTCTTTGGGCTTGACATGCCGGGACAATAGAACGGACCCCTTTTGTAACCTGTACTCCCTGGTACAGCTTTTTTCACTCTGCTGCTCCCTTGAACCATTTTTATGCTTTCTTTGTCAGATTAAAATTCCAGCTTTTGCTGAAGTCCCTGCTATTATGGTAGCTGATGGGATCCAGAACCACAGCCTTACAACTATAACTGTGCAGCCTACAAATGCACTTAGAAGCAGGAAACCTAGGACGTTTCTGGCACATCAGCACTATACCCAAGGCCATTTTCTTTTTCTTTACATTCAGCAGTACGGTTTTTACTATTACTGTTCTTTAATTACTACTCTGTGCATTGGAAATACAGCAATTTTCTAATGAAAGAAAGTATAAGCTGTACATGCAGATGAAACCATGAGTCTTCTATACATTACGAAGTCTCAGCCTGTCTTTGATTTTGTATATTCCCTTCACTGGTTTTCATTATGATACTTTCAAACAAGTTTCACCTGCACATTTTCCATTTCCAGGTAATAAACAACATGGAGAATTTGATTTTATTTTTACAAATGTTGAACAGTATTACTGTGCCTCCAGTTATTTATATTCCGCTGTACTGAGCTGTCATTGGTTCTGCTTTGTACCTACATATTTTGCAGGCACGAGATGAAGGGATCAATTAAATGTTCATTGCAACTGCACACTAACCTACCTCTTGCTACATTCAGCCAAACATATGGTGAATTTGCCCTAAGCCTGATGAACTGTTAGTGTTGTACAGCCTGAAAGCAACTACACAAGCAAGCTCCCATCCCACATGGAAGTTTGCCATTGACTTCACTGGGAGCAATACCACATATCCTCTTAGCTTGTGAGTACTTGTCTTTGTTCAGGATGTCTATAAAGAGAAACTATTGCAATGTAAGTCTAGGTTTGAATTTAAAGTGATTATTTATTCTGCAATAATTCCTCACGAAGACGTTTATCTGCACTCCAAGTACCAGCGTAATCCACTTCCAAATATACAGAACAAAGTGGTGGAAAGTACTGTAAGCGCAGATTAACAGCTGCCTCATGGGAAACTGCTACTCTACGCTTGCAGAAATGCTCCTCTTCAGCTCAGGTTGTTTAATTTGCTATGCAACCCCCTTTTTTTTTTACAGACCAGGAACCATTCAGGCATTAAGATACTGCAAGCATGGACAACATAAATGACTCACCCTAGAAGTGACAGGAACTTTCAGGAATTGAGGCATAACCCACTCTCAACTGACACGGGTAACAGGTTAATTTTTATGAGAGATCTTTCTGTAACCCAGGGACAGTTCTGCTCCTTTCCCTAAGGTATCTCTGACTGGCTGCTGTAGCAGTCATGACACCAGCCTGGACGACTCATGAGTGGGATGTGAGCTGCTATCTTGTTCTTCCTGGTGAACAGATAGGATGCATCACTATACCCAAGTGTTCCTTTGTCTGAGTGTTCAGATGAAGCATGCTCTTAATCACGTCTGCTGGCATGCCATTAAAATAGGCCATATCTGACTTTAATTCAATGGAGACAGTTTTGAGTGAGGACTAGAAAAGAGGGATTGAAAATCAAGAGGTACGACTTAATCGTAGTTATGTTTAGTGAATCAGGCCCTCAAAAACAACACAAAACAAGTAAAAAAGGGTAATGGCTATTTGAGGAACTACTAGGTAAACAAGGATCTGGGGAGAATTTTTAAAAACACCCATAAACTGACCATACACTGTGTTGTAAGACATTTCATGATCAGGTGAAGCAGTTGAAATGTCTATGAACAAAATAAATTGGGAAGAAACATTAAATAAAACACAAGTATGAAAATACTTAAAAGTTTTGTAAAAAGTGATTCCTCCAAAATGGATTTGCTGTCAGTAAATAATGAAACTAAGAACTTCCTTACCATTCAGGGCTACGAAGGAATCTGAAAGACAAATAACAGGGGAAAAATCATTATTTCTCTCTCTTTTTTTCTTTTTAATAGTTTGTTTCTATGCTTCAGCTGATATTTCTATGTATGTGATTAGTACCCTAAGAACCTAGGCAAAACTAATATTCAGACATACCCGAAAACGATGTCTGGCTTTGAAAGTGTCATGACCAGCCCTGTGCAAGGGATACCAAGTGGGAAGGCCAGTGTCCTCCCTGCCACGACTTTCTTTGCAAGACCAAGTCCTAATCTAACCCAAGGCACTACAAATGATGCATCCAGCAACGTGAGTCAGTGAGGACAAAACTCACATGACCCAACACCATATGAAGTAATAAGATCAGCTGGGTTAGCAGGGAATGAAATCTACTCCTGTGCAGTGTCAAGGTTCAAGGCATCATTCAAGGCTAAAGAGGGATTTAAGCAGGGTATGGGCTTTGTTGCTTTCTGCACAGGAGCAGATATCTCTCTCCATGAGCACAATGGTTCCTGAATAAAATCCTACCCTCCTTTTATATTTAACTGACATCAGGTACAACCTATTTGCTCAAGGAGAGCAGAACTGGCTGAAAAGGGCAAAGTTGCACCAGCTGGGAACTGACCTGATTTTGTTGCTAACCCATTTTACAGGGAGCACAGGAGGGACTACGTGTATACCTTCTTCGAAAAGCTTAGAGACAGTCTACATAACCCTATCTTAGGGCAGAGGCAGAGGGAGGTGTAGCTGAGATGGAGGGCATGCAGAGGCTGAAATCCTTGTACTCCCTCAAGCACAGTCATCGCAGTAATAAATGGCTCTGGAACAAGGATGCACAGGGCATGAGAAGGCTCTGGCTTTCTCCAGAGCAGCTGGCCTGCACTGTACCCCACAGCACACTCTAGCCCTCCGTTATTTTGCTCTGTATTCCAGAAGTAATGACTCTCTCACTGTACATTACTTCTTCAGCTTCAGCAGTTTTATTGCATCTACAGGCATCAGTGCAAATTGCACCAAAAAGAATGTGATTCTTGATTTCGTAAGGTTTATAAATAATATTTGGGGCTCAGAATTAAACAACCTTGGCAAGACCATTTGGAACGAGAGCTGTCCTGAACACAGATGTTGGTATTCCTGAAGGCTCAGAAATCAGCATGCAAGGTTTCTTTGCATGCAGTGCAAGCTGTGCGCTTTTAAGCACCTCAGTGCAAAATGTAAATGTTTATGAAGACTGTGTTTAAGCTCCAGCTCATGCTGTCAGTTCATACCTAAGGTTCACCATTAAAATTTCTTAGGCAGGGTCAGTAGTGCCTGACCCTTAATACCACTATGTTGTCCAGCCTATGTGTAAAATCCACTAAAATTCACAAACTAAGTAGTTCCCACTTCTTGATCTGGGTCCAAAGCTGAAGATGTATTTCACTGTCTCCCTGTCCTCCGTGGGAATGTAGTCCAAATCACAGTCTATACCAAGAAACCAAGCCACTTCTATACATCTACATAAACAACCCAACCACCATGGCTAATAAAGACAATGAACACCCAATTAATTATGCCATTGTTACAACCAATATCGTCTGGAACTGAGATTTTCTCACTACATAACCGCTTTGCAGTCTGGTGTTTGTACAAATCACACCAACTGGGCTATTTTCTTTAAATACATTTAAACAACCATTCCTCTTCTGAACCTGCATCACCAGCCACAGTTGCTGTCCCTGTTGTGGCTTACATTGCTACAAAAGAACGCCTGACAGGTAATGGTGATTTGAGGCATTCAGAAGGATGCTGTGACACATGGTAAATAGGGGGTAAAAGCTTTGCTTACTTTGGCAGTCACCCAGGCCATCTGTATTGCCGTGTTCTATGTCCTGTTCAAATGCCAGTCTAAATAATAGAAAGAAACAAAACAGTATGAATAACAACAGTCACAGGCACTACCAGAAAGAAATTATCACATGTGCAGCTGAAATAAAGCCCCACCACGAAACTGACCATTCCTTTGGAACTTCCAAACAAAGGCTGCAAAATTGCTTAATGACTTCTTGGCTTCTGATGATGCTTTGTCTTTTTATTATTACTTTTAAAAAATCCACTGCATGTTTTATTGTCAAGGGAGGCAAATAGATTCGTATTTTTTAAACTTTGTTAACTCTGTAATATATGACATTATCAGGAGAAATTATGATCCTACCTTAACTTGTCCATATGGTAGACAAAGTGCACCAATACTTTGAGGTGAGAAGGAAGCTAACCCGTTGGGTAGGTACAGTGTTGGGGGAAGACAACCTGCATTTCAGCAATCATTTATGTACTGCACTGGACGAGGCTGCAGCCTCGTAAGGCTGCAGGCATAAGGTCCAGTCCACAGAAGGCATTCCACTGAATTAAGGGGCTCTATTGAAAAACACTCACAGGCTTCTCTAGCTGACATGCCCAGTTTATGCTCCTAACCTCTGCCTGTGATTTTGGATAACTAGGGAACCTGTTCTTCCAAGTTCCTGTACGGTCAAAGGTGAATGACAAGAGCCTTGGAAAACCATCAACAGAAGCCCTTGTCTACATTAGTTAGGATCCTGCCCTTGAGGCATAACTACCCTTGCAGGCACCTCATTGCCAACTCCATGTTCTTAAAACTCCTGCTCAACTGTCACCTATTCCAGGAAAGCACCTAACATCTCTGCCTCCTGTTGGCTAGTTTAGAAGTTCACCAGACATCTTCACAGCTGATCTGGATCCCCCTCCTAAGGGCTATGCACTGGACACAGAGAGACCTGCCTTGCTCGCCTCTGGACTGCACCACCGCAAGCTGTGCTGCCTCTGTCTCGATGGATCTATTGATAAACACAGGAACTGCTTTTAAGAGTAAGGTCCAGAAGTCCCCTATGGCTTGCCATGGAAGTGCAAGCACTTGGGAATGCTGAGAAAACCTGATACGGACACAGGTGCATTTTAACATTATTCTACCAAATGTCCAGTCAGGAATAGTCTACCTCAGTGGGGTAGTGGGGTTCAGTGGGGTCGGCTGTGGGGCTATCGAGGTTGTGTGATGTTTGTGCTACACTTACAGCACTACCTTGAGGAAGCATAGCTGTACCTCAGAGTGGGCAAGCGTGAGGTGTGTCAGATGCGGCCAAGAAATGAGAGGTCAGAAGTGGGTCTGCTCCCTGCAAGGAGGCTTTAGTAACCACATTTAAACAAACCGTCACAGACCCTCATTATTATAAAATAATTAAATTCTACTGTTAAGGAAGGGGAGATCCAGCACTTCTCTGAACCTGTTTTAAGCTCTTACTGTGCTCTGTGATTCCTCTTACTAATGCACAGTAAATTAGGAGGACTGGTTTTGTTTTCAGTGGACAAATTGCTTCAGTAATTTAATTTGGATTCTATTGCCTCTTTAATCAGCTGTGATGGCTCCAGTGTGGGCTGGTCCAGACATACCCATCCAGTTCCCTCCTTTCAACAACACGCGGACCTTAGTACAGCTCTTTCATTTTCTTCTTCCTCCTCTTTCAGCAATTACCAATCAGCTGAGAGTTCACATCAAAAAAATTTGTAAGACATTTCAGAGGTGAATGCAAATAAGGTAGAAACAAACACTTCCCACATTTTTCCTTCCCTAAGAGCCCCATGTTTCAAATAGCTCTGCCTAAGACCGCCTGGCGCCACCGCCAGAGCCTCACGACTCCCCCAGCCAGAGCCCTTACTCACTTGGAGCCAAGGACCAGCTGCGTGCATGCCCCGCTCTCCTTCACCCATCCACAGTAGGGGTCTCTGGACGCTATGCAGGCCCTGGAGAAAGAAGAGCACAAGGTGGCATTCATGAGTGCTCCCGCCT